ATTTATTTTTATATATAATTTATTATAAATTTTAGTTATAATAAATAAAAATGTAACTTGTGAAATACACAAACTAAAATATTAATATTTTTTAATTTAGATAAAAATTATCGTATTATATTATATTGTAATTTGTGAAATATACTGGAATGAGAGGGATCCAAAGATTGTACAAGTATGAGATTTTATAGTTGAAGATGACTTAAAAGAATTAATTTTTAGCATTTATATCAATGAGATTCATTTACTCTTTGGTAGCTTATTCCTTAAGAACTTCACAGTTAAGCGTAATTTAGGGATAGGTGACCTTTTGGGAAGTTTTCCAGAAAAATATGCAATTAACAACAAGGCACACTAGAAATTCATAATGACGACATATTCCTCAAGACAGTTTTCAGTAATACTGTAATAGTTTAAGTGTTTTTTTTTTTTAAACTATTCAATCATAAACAGAATTCATTAAATAAGCTGTGTGATTTACAAAATGAAGTCAACCTTAAAAAGTATGTTGAAAAGAGTTGATAAAAATGTATTTTAATGATAAAAAGGAAAAAATTATTAATTTATCAATGTAAAACAGTTTTACAAATTATTTAATTCCAAATTAACATGTAAAAATTATATATACTGACAATGATTTGGATTGACTGCCAGTATAATTTTCTTTTAAACATTTTATACTAATAGTGCATAGTTATTTAACATTTTTTTATATTTCTTAATTTATTATTGTATTAAACCAAGAATTTTATATTTTTAATAGAAAATCGAGAATTTTACACTCTAATAAAAGTAATATTTTGAAATAAAAACTAAAAAAGTTTCCCTTACACTTAAACTTAAATTAAAATAAATCATTAAAGTTAGACTAGTGATTGAATGAAAATAGATTAAAATAATTAAAAAAATAGTGATCTAGGTTTACGACCATTTGTAATTTTTCTTATTTTTTTTAAAAAATAAAATTAAACTAAAATGAATCCCATCCCCACAAAATTAAACGTTATAATTCAATCATAAACACAAAATAATGCAAATTAAACTTGGGGATGATAGAGGATGCATCCGGCCATCTCCAAATCTTCTTCATTATGGGTCAAAGTAGTAGAAACACTACACGATGAGAAAAAAAAAAGTCAATTTACAGACGAGAATAATAAATAAAAGGCTAAAATAGTATTTTAGTCTCTTATAATAATTGTTTGTTTCAATTTAGTCTCACTTATTTTTTGTCTCAATTTGATTCCTAATAAATTAATTGGTTACAATGTCGGACTTCGGTCCAAATTATTTAAACAGAGTTAACTGTTGGCCACGTGGATGCCACGTACATGCGTAGGTGGATGTCACGTGAATGCCAATTTTTTTGAAAACACCTTGAACCAAAACGACCCATTCTGAAAGAGTGCAACCAGAATGGGCCGTTCTAAATTCAGAACGGGTCGTTCTGGTTCCAGACTGCTAAATACAAACGATCAATGATTATAGTTCACTGTTGTGAATCGTGGAAGGAAAAAGACCCAAGGGACAAAACATTTCAAACACTAGATTTGATAATATTGTTAATGAAAATTGATAACTTCAATTGCTAAATAGTTGGACTATACAGTGCATCATTAAGGACAATGCAGTGTATCACTAAAGACAATAGTAGCAGATTTTATTTTATTGTTTAATTATTTTTTATTTTGTGGTAAAATTATCTTCATTTTTAATGAAGAAAAAATTTACTTACTTCAAGAATAAGTCTTGATAGATTTGTTCTACTTAATAATTAATGTTTTATATCAAATTTTTAAAAATTTAATTGTTAAATTAAAAAGCTTTTCATGTATAGATCAAATTTATAAAATTTTTAAAAAAATTAAAAATCATATGATACTTCATTAAATTAATTCAAAATTACATATAAAATATTTTTATTTTAAATGAGTGTAAAAATTTAGAGGACACTAAAAGAAAACAAATTAATAAATTTTATTATGTTTATCCTATTAATTTTTATCATTTTATTCCTCTAGTTTTAAATAAGTTGCAAAAAATTATTAAGTGACACTTAAATATTTCTTCAGACAAAAAGAGAAAAAAGAAAAGTTATCACTCTATTTATAAGACAATTGTATTTTATAAAAATAAGTAATTTTAAATTTTTTACTATAAAAAAATATTTTTCAAAATTATTATAATTCTGGAATGGGTCGTTCCGTTCTAGTTTTAGAACGGGTTGTTCTTTTGTACTTGTGATATGTTAATTTTGCATCTGGAACGACCCGTTTCAGATGCAAAATTAACACACTAAGAGTATACCCAGAACGGCCCGTTCTGGTTTCAGAACGGCCCATTCTGGTTGCATCTACGTGGCATCCACGTGGTCAACAGTTAACTACATTTAAATAATTTAGACGAAAGTCCGACATTGTAACTAATTAATTTATTAAGAACCAAATTGAGACAAAAAATAAAAGTGAGATTAAATTGAAACAAACAATTATTATAAGAGAGGAAAATATATTTTTAACCTAAATAAAAAAGCCTCATTGTAGTATTTACAAAGCCAGTGTAGGAAGCAAACAATAGTAAGAAAAAGAAAAAAATATGAGAAGAAATTACTAATTAACTAGGAAGACGTATTTGCCAGACATTAATGTCACAATCAAGCCCTCCACTGTAAACCAGATAAGAGGTAGTATTAGCATCATCCTGATGAGGACCACTACCCATGTTGAAGGAGTCAACAGCCATAGCCAAACACTTGACGGGTCGTCGATGACCTTCCAACACCGCCAAACACGAATACCCCTTCTCCTCAACCCCTCTCCTCCACACCCTAACACTCTTATCCGCCGAACCACTGCACACCAAATCCCCCACCGCCACCAAACACAGTATAGCCTTCGTATGCCCCCTCAAAGCCCCCACCACCACCATACCCTCGCTCCCTCCATCGCTCTCCCACACCAATATCGACCTGTCACACGCGCCCGAGTACAACACCGACCCGTTGCCGCTCAGCGCAAGAGCATTCACCGCTGACCTATGCTTCTCCAACGTCCCCAACAGGAAATGCTTTTGACTTTTCATTTTCTCATCACCCTCCTCCTCCTGCTTCTTCCACATCTTGATTTTGGTGTCCGCGGAACCCGTGTAGACGACGCCGTTTTGCGACACAATTAAGGCGTTGATGGCGTCGTCGTGCGCGTTTTGCACGGAGTCCAAGCATTTGAAGTCGGAGGTTCGCCAGACTTTGAACGTTCTGTCCCATGAGGCGGAGTAGAGGAGGGAGTTGTCTTGGGAAAGAGCGAGAGCGGAGACAGCGTCCACGTGGTGCACCCACGTGCGTTTCTTGTGGCGGCGGATTTTGACGTAGTTTTTGGAGGAGAATAGCTTGGAGATGCGGTCGTGGAGCGTGGGAAGCGTGGCTATGCATTTGTAGTTTTGGCTTTGGTTGTCGTCGGTTTTCCAGACGCGGATTTTGTGGTCTTGGTGTGCGGTGAAGAGGACATCGTTGTGAACGATGAGGGACTTGATGGGTGCGGTGGTGGATGCCACAACAACGTTGTTGTTGGTGTCTGAGGTTTGGAGAGTGAAGGGATCTCTGCTGCATGTTTTTACTTGGCCGTCTGAGGAGGCGCTGAAGAGGGACTTGGCGTGGAGGGTGAGGGCAGAGATGGGGGAGGTGTGGGCTTTGACGGTGGCTAGGAGGCGGTGGTGGGTGGTGGTTTGCGGTGGTTGGTGGTGGTTTTGTGGTGGGGTGAGGGAGGGAACAGAAGGGAGACTTGGTTGGGAAGAGAGGGAGGATGATTCTGAATGAAGGTGATGATGATCTTGGGAGTGTGGTTGTTGTTGGTGCTTTGAGTTGCTGGAACACGAGGGGCGTTGAAGGACTCCCATTTGGCTTTGTTGCCCTTTTGGGCCTTGTTTTGAGATGTGGTGGCTTTTATAGAGACATGCTCATGTTAGCCATTTAAAGATTGGCAACGGTGCATGTTAGCGTTTTTTAATTAGGCGTCACCAAGGACCAAGATGTCTCCTTTCTCCCCCTTCACAATTTAATCACTTGTTTTAACCATCATTAGCTACAACATATCCTTAATTAATTCATGTGATTTCTCTTAATTTAATAATTAATATATTAATTAATTGTCATATAGATCTCTTTACACTAAGTATAAATCTAAATATTTATACTAAATTTTATATATTTAATATTTTTTTATATAATAAAAATTTAACCAATTTAATCATTAAATTGTGTGATATTATACTCAATAAATATATATATATATATATATA